CTGAGCAACTTAACATCAGAGACATTTATACTCATTCAATCTGAAGTGCCACTTCTGTACACATACTGATCCATGCAGCTCACTTCAAATTGCTGTCTTGGATTGCTTTGTGTTGCTGGAAAGTGTGTGTTATGCTGGGAGACCACAGCATGGTAAGACTTATGGGTGTTGTGATCTGCAGAATTCAAATCCAATTCTGGGAAGAAGCACTGGAAGGAATTACACTAAAAGTTGCACAATGAAATATCTGAAAAACATAATAAGTCTTCTGGATGTGTTCTGTGCATGTGAAGAAAAGGATCATTGTGGATGAGACTAAACTAGAAAGGCAAAACTGTCTTGTAAAACACCTCATAAAGCTAGGCAAACACATTGGAAGCTTTTGATTCAGAGAAAAGACTGGGATTTCCAAAGATACGAATGACAGCACTGTGGTCTAAGTGTTAAGATCCCAACCTGCACAGTACATCTACCAACGATCCACCTCCAAGTCCTTCATGCAGTGGTTTACTGTTGGCAGTGCTAGGAGGAATGTTACGCTAATTCATTTTTGCAGGCAATGTTGCTAACTTGTGTCCTTCAGTGCTGAAGCAAGTTTTAAATTTGCTTTATAAAGCACAGCTCTCGTTATTTTGAAGGAATTGCAGTGCACTGTTAGCATACCACTGTGCAGATAAATTGACATGTTATGTGCTGTAGAATAATGCAGCTGAAGATATTGGGATGCAGATTTTGTGTGCAGACTATCCACTTCTTGCTTATGTGTATCTTTCCCTTTTCTTTTTAAACCCTTTGGTCTGAATAGTTTCTTTTCCATTTATCCCTGCACTTCTAAGAATGCTACATTGCCAGTCCTTTTTGCTCCTCCTATGCTATGAAATACTCCTGATCATCTCCATATTCATTGTGGTCCTTTTCAACCCGGGCCATTTCATGATTCTACAGAGAAGTGTTTTTCTCTTCTGTGTTTAAATGGCTGCCATATCTCTGGTTCTTCCCTTTGGTGTCCTGCAGAGTTCCAGCATCTTTCTCTTCATCCAAACTATTGGAGCAGTGTTCTTGTAGGTTCCACTTGTCCCAGTTAGAATGACAGTGCCTTGCCTACAGCAGTGACCCATCTCTGAATGCTGGACCCAGGTAGGTGGAGTTCAGTCCTTGGCCACTTTGGCTCCTCAACAGGGAATAAGTTAATTTAGAGCCTCCTGTCCATGTTTTGGGTGTTTCTGAATATTAGGATGGCTGTGCTGGAGGTGAAATTCACAATGCTTGCTTTTAGGCTTTCCATTTAGTTGATGTGTGGAGGTATTGGTCAGCTCTCTCCTCTTCATAAATCTCTAATCACCTCAGAGGAAGGTGACTGAAAACAAAGCTGTCTTGTGAGGTTAGAAAAGCATTTGGCATTTCATTAGCAAATTGTACCAAAAAGGAGCAATATTCAGCATCTCTTAGATGCACCTGTACAATGCAGCAATAGCAAAAGTTGCAAAGGGCTGCAGTTTTTTATTGATCATCTACCAAAGCTGGCTAATAGCAGCGTATCACCTCAAATACCCCTGCAGGAAATAAAGCTCAGACCTGTGCGTTTTAACTTTGAACTTGAGTCTTCTGTTCATGTGTCTGAACAGTGTGTATGAGCACAGAGGAGTTTCCTGTCTTCAAGCAACTGTCTTGAGTGAGAGAGACTTGTTTTTATGTGGTTGACCAGATAGGTATCGCGTGGCTCTTGTTTTTGGAGTGTCAGGCATGGAAGTGGCTGAGCATACCTTGTGTCTCCATTTCATTGGCTACTCTGTGTGCTCTTGCTGCTTTATCTTACTTCTGTGCCATGAAGCAGAAGTTGCATTGGGATTTTGCCAGCTTCTTTCACAGATTTAGTGATTAAATAGAAGGAACAAAATATCTGCAAACATCGATTTTCCTTTGTATAAAGGAAAAAGAAGGAAAACATCACCATTTCTGCTTTTCTCTAGGTACTTAACAGGAGATCCTGAAATGCTGCTATATGGAAGTGAGAGCTACTCTGGCTGTTAATTAGTGACAGAGTGGTGCTATTGCCTGCTTGTGTTCTTTTGATGAGGAGATAGGAACGGTGCAAAAATCACCTGCTCACGCTAACCAGGTGAGTGCGTGTGCTGTGAGGTCAGCTTGGTGCAATTCTGGGTCAAGCCCAGGGAGAGTGTGAAGAGGAAGAAAAGGTTTGTCTGAGGACTGGTTTGATGGCCAGCTTTGTTGACAGAGCGATCCGGAGGCGATGGATGCGTGGGTCTGGCTCCCAGCCACTGACAGGTGTGTCGGAGTTTCAGGTGTGCCACGGAGTTTCTACTGTGTTTAGCAAGGCAAGATCTTCTGATGTAGCTGTAAGTTTGCAGGTTTCGTTTCAGTACTTGAAATGCAAAATGGAGCTCATTTCCACCCACAGGAATGAGTTCCTGTAAGCCTAGCAAGACGCAGGAGGTGCCCAGCATCTCTGACAGAGAACAACGTGCTTCTCAGAAACCACCTCTGGCTGGAGCAGAGACAGTCCTGCACACAGTTGCAAGAAACAAGCACTGCAAGGCAAGAAGAGCTGTGCTTTGGTTGCTGTGGGAAAGACAGAGCTCCTTGGTAGGAAAAAATGAGCAGAGCTACTTACACTGCTAAGCCTGGTGCTAAATATTGCTCACTTTGTTTGAAACTCATTGTAAATGGTTTTGTAGGACTGATGCAGGTAATCGTGCTCTGCTCTCAGCCCTCCTGGGGTCCTCAGTTTTATGTGCATCTCCTGTGGTGGTGCCATGTCAGATTTAAAGTATGGCTGCATCATAAAAGGGGTCCAAGCTGCCGGGTAGAAATTTCTGCTCAATCATAAAGTCATGTGGAAGGAGGCAAAAGGTCAAGATACCTGAATTAAAAGACATGCCAGCTATTAGCAGCTTACTGTGTTAAGCTGTCTTACTTAAGCTGGCTGTTCTCCTGTTTTTTATTCATAAACAAATTGAGGCTGGTGGGGCGAAGAGAAGAATTCACCTCATTTTTAGAAGCAGGAGCCAAAAATTCCTGGGAAAATTCCCAGGTAGGAAGCAGAGGAGGTCCAATGTCGTGTGAAGATAATTCAGCGTAGTCTGTAGAATGAGTAAATAAACACACCCTGAGAGCTAATGCAAAACACTTACTGAAACAGATACTGTACTCCTTCAGCAGAGCATTAAAAGAAGGAAGAGCCTTGGCAGTAAAATGCTTTGTCCAGAACATGCCCACTCCTGCTCTTTGTAATTTGCAATTCCACTGTTGTTTTGATGTTTTTGACTCATTTTTACTTTTAATAAACTTTTTCATAATGCAGAGCCCAAAATCCAGGTCAAACTCTTCCTGTAGTAGTGATTTTCTCAAAGCACAGGGTTTTTCCTCCATAATGTGCACTTTGGATCTGCAGTTGCATTTTGGTGAAGCAGCTGCCCTGCTGACTCGTGCTTTTATTTGGGAAGTTTACATTCAGAGCAAGAAAAGTGCTTTTAATCTTCTATGCCCAGCAAGCAGACTGCTTGTTCCATTGCTTTGAAATACAGAAAAGCAGCATGGCAAGGATTGCAGGCTGTGTAGCACAGCAGCATGCACACATTTGGTTTCATGCATCACCAGGAAGCTGCAATCCCTGTTCCCCGGCCCAAATAGCTGGAGCAGTTGGTTTGGCTTTGGCACGGACTGGGGAACCCAGCAGTTTTCTGTCTAGATAGAAGTCTACCAGTTTGGTTTTGAAAGTATCTTACGCCTTAGCGTCACCAAGGCTCTCAACCCAGGTTTATTTGGCAGTGAAATAATTGCCAGACTTCCTAGGGGATTCATATGTACAGTTCCTTGAGTTTTCTTTTTGTTCTGAAGCAGCCTGTCTACCAGGGGCTTTTTCTCTTCTCTACCTAAGATACTTTCTGCTGTTGAAACCGATGTCTGTATGAGTGCTTTCATGCAGTCGTATTGTCTGAAGGCTTTGGCATTTAACAGATGTGAAAAAGGGACATGATCTCTCTTTTCTGTTAGAATTTCATATTTTGGGAGAATTATGGCTTCTGGTTGATGGTGTCATGTTTTTCCCCCTGAACACTTTTTGATGTTCATCTTCACAGCCTGGTACAAGTTGTGACTGGACTGAACCTTGAGCAGCTGCTATGAGGTAACAAATGCTACAGATACTGGCCTGATTTGATGGACAGGGAGAGAAGATGAACTTCAGGGAAAGGGAGGAGGGGAAAGGGATTTCTCTGTTTTATTTTGTTGGTTGCTTTTATTATTTTATCTTAAGGCCTTACTGTTTCATGCAAGCTGAGATTACCCAAGTTTTAAGCGAAAAAGAGAAGCAAATTGTGTTCTTGTGGAAAAGACGGTTTCGCTGATCTCTCAGCTTAATATTTAGGCTGCTGCAATCGAAGAATTAACGTTAACTGAAATGCTTACGACAGCTTGAAGCAAGTGTAGGGGAATTCGAGGAGGTATTTACACTCTTCTGCAGTAGGATGAGTTCGCCACGTGGGGGCAACGCGCCATCGGGCTTTGTCTTTACCTTTACCCATACGAGGAGGAAATAGGTGGCAGTTTGTGGTTTTTGCCTGGACTTTTGTTGCAGCGTGTGTGGCTGAGCAGCCATGTTTCCGTGCAGCCCGTAGCTTGTGTATGCTTTGGGGTTTCGTGCTGTTGATTCATAACTGCTGCTGGCTGTAGACTGAACCTTCTGGGTAGGAGGAATATGCTTAGACAAGCACACCAGTCAGCCCGACAGGAGTTGCAGAGCAAGTACCTGCATGTGTGTGTGTGTGTGTGTGTGTGTGTGTGTGCTCACACACAGGTATGAACATATGTTGTGCTTAATTTGTCTCCTGTAATTGCCACTTTCACCATGAGAGCTAACTTAAAATGCAATTATGAAAGTCAAAGTGGGTGATTACAGAAAAGGATTGCATCCACTATTTTTTAGTTAGTAACTTCAGGTGAGCAGACCTGATTTTTTTTTTTTTTTCCCTTTAAGTGCTTTCCAGTTTAAAAGAATTGGACAATACAGAAGGTCATAAGCTGAGACTCTTGGACTTCACACTTCATAAAGGTGAACTGATAGGTACGGTGTGTCCTGAGGCTCCTGAGGACTTGCCCCAAAGCAGGGGGGAGCAATCTGGAAAGCCCAGAGGATTACCTTTGTGATAAGTGCTCTAGCATGATGGCTGGGGATGTGGAGGTGGAAAGACAGGCATTTAAGATTGGAAGCAGAACACCCCCACTCTTCCCAAATTTCTGTGGCATGGAAATCAGTTTCTGTAGTTGTTTTAGCAAGATGCTGCTAATTATGATTGTTTCTCATTAATCTCTGCCACTTTGCAAAGTATCTTCATTAATGTTAAAAAAACAGTGTTTCTCCAGTCCTTCCTGGTGCTTATTAACAGTAAATGAATCCAGTGTAAGAGATTCCAGAAAACAATAGGTATTGGTTTGCCTGTGTCATCCATTCTTTGTGTGCATAATGCAGCTCAAAACTCCTGTTATCCAGCTATCCCTGCTTACTTTGACATGATGCTTTTATCCTTTGCTTATGAAAGTCAGGTGTAGGAACCAAATTATAGAATTTCACTCTTCTCTCTCATGTTTTCCTATCATCAAGGGTACAAGTGTCTTGTGGGTAAAGAACAACACCTGACTAACAGCTGAAACTGGCTTGGTTTTCCTACTGGGGGAGTGGTCTGATGCAACTCTGCGCTGTTAGGCAGAGAATTTGTTTATCAGGGATGAGACAGGTTGAGAAATGATTCACCCATCCACACAGCCCAGTCTCCACTGAGATGTCAGTGTTGATGTGGAAGGCAGGCCAGAGGACAGGCCTGGCACACAGGGGAACTAGGCTTATGTGTGGTTCTGGCACCGTCCATCACAAACTGCAGAGTACTTTAGTGAGTCCTTCTGGGCCTAAACACTTTCAGATGATGAATGTGGTCAGGGGAGTCACTAATTCTCATGATGTACAGTATAAGTTCTGAATGTATTTTTGGATATATTTTACCATCCCGGATGCTTTGCAGCTGGTCCTGTGAAGACAGGTCCTAGGAGGTCAGGAGAAAGAAGAGCAATTGTCCCATGGCAGAACTATCAGCCTTGCATTCAGCCCTAGCTAACACCATGCTTAGGCAGGTAATGATGTTTACTGAGTGTCTCCAGGCAGTGACTGATGGGAGAACTGTAGTACAAGGCAAAATACCTGCACCAGTTTTAACCAAAGCAGGACAGCAGTGCTGATCTGTGGTATCCAAGGCTTCTGTGAACACCCCCTCCTTGTAGAGATACTGATGGCTCAGCTGGCCTGCCTGCAATGAAATCTGTACCCATCCATCTTCAGCTCTCCAGCATCTGCATGCCTATGCATGTTGTCATCAGAAAAGCATGCTAGAGAAGTGAACTAGTGATGTGCAGCCCAGCTAAAGTGGGGAGGTATAGAATACATCATATATACATTGCTTAAGTTGTTTTGTGTCCAACCTCAACCTTATCTTCAGCTGTGCATAGAAGGGGAGACGAAACTTAAGTTGTTTGTTAGGTGATACAAAGTTCTGTTTCTTAGAAGTCTCCTAATACATAACTGAAAAAGATGTCATGAAAAGATGAGTATTTTTTTCAATCTGTGTTGTACCTCTTTGCCACGATAAAGAATTTGAACTGGAAGCTTTTCCAGATGCTGTCTTCCTTGGCTTCTACCTTTATCCAGTGAGCAACTAAAGAAGGAAATTACACTGTACTGTAGTAGGAGGGTAATTCTAATTATCCCATTTGGACCAAGAGGAGAATGTAAGGCAGACTAACTTCAGTTAAATGAACGAGTTATGCACGACCATTTTTTATCTCACAATGGTAAGGTTTTACTTAGTCTTTGTGTTGCATCCTTCCAACATCAGCAGCTGACTCGTAATGAAATTATCCCTCTCCTAGCTTCCTTGTCATATAAATGATTCAAATGTACTGCCTGGTTGATCAGGAAGTTTGCCTTTATAGAGGTTAAGAAAACTCTCAAGTCTTTGTGTTTCTATTTTCTATGCAGACAGCTGTGAAGCATGTATTGCTGACTCATGATAATAGCATCCATTTCCTCTCTCAGGGCTCAAGTCTGTTCACCACCACCACCACGTCTCAAGCATGTTTTGTGTGTTCCAGCAGCCAAGCAGTTTTGTAAAAGGCTGTGTAGGACAGAGGCTCGGTCTGTTAGGGCACTTTCTGTTTGTGCCCTGCTCAGCTGGGATTAGGAATGCATCATCCATTCATGGGCTGTTGCTTGCTGAGGGATCCAGTGAGTGCAAGGTGTACAGCTGACACTTTCTTCTGGCTTGTGTATTTGGAATCTCATTCCTTTTTATCCCTTTGTCTGCCTCAGGATCCAAAAATTGCAGGTCCCTTCACAGCCTGGCCTGCCAAAGTGCACGAGTAGAAGCATGAAAGCCTCTAGGGACTTCTCTAACAGGATCTATTGTAGGAAGGTTTTTGCATTTAGGCAGTAATAGCTGCCATTTGTTATCAGCGGGGCTGCATTATCTGTCCTGAAGAATGGGGAATGCAAGTATGAAAAGGAAACTTCTTAAGGTTTAGGTGATGGCAAGTAAACTGGTCCCAGTGCAATGCTTGTGTTTCCCGCTGAGCTCTTTGTGCTGGGATGAAAGAATAGTTTTTGTCTCTGGTGGGTAGGAAGGCTGGAAATGAGCTGCATGTCCAAGTCGAGGTGTGGGCACTTAAACACAGAACCTCCAGTGCTTTTTCATTACTGGATTGCTTCAGCCTAGCAAACCACACGTATTTCATGTGAGCAATTAAAGTGAGCAAGACACAGAGAAGCACAAACAGCAGGGTGCTGGTGCCTCTAAAGACCTGCAGTTACTGCTTCCTCTCTAATTGTTGTGATGCTACTTTTACAGCCATCAGCATCAGATTTGTTCTCCATTTTAGTAAGAGCTGCTTTTCTTTTTCTTTTTTTTTCCCACAAGGAAATCTTTGTGTTCTTTTCAGATGTTAAAGGAAAGAAGGGATTGAAATGAAGATGACTTTGAAGCGTCTGCTTTAAAGGATGCAAACACATCTCGGTGCTTAAGCTGCAAATAAAGCTGGCTGCTCCACGGGAGTGCAATGCAAATGGCAGGCAAAACAAGGTATTGAAACATCCATTTCAGTTAAGAAAAGCCTTCAGTTTGCCGGAACAATTTTTTTTTAATGAATGGAGTTACCTAAAATGTGTATTCCTGCAACTCTCCGTACTCTTCTTTCCACAGGTGAGCTTGTTCGGCTCCGTTTCAGTTTAAGGCAAATGGACAACACTGTGCTCTTTAAAACCTTGTGACTTTCTCTTTTTAAAGGAGAATGTTGCTCATCAGGATTTACTCATTAAATTTGTGAGCTCCTTCTGTCTGTGGGTGAGAGTGGTGAAGCCGCTCTGGGATGAAAGGGCTGTTCTGCATGTTTTGTGTGCTTTGTTAATATAAAACTCAGATGCTGTTTTGCTTTTCAAATTGTTGTGAAAAGGCCAAGTTCTCACATACAGGATGGCTCTTTGCACGTCGCCTTATTGGCCACCTGTCCTTCCCTCCAGAAACCAGCGTGTTTCCCTTTTTCTCTTACTTCTCGTCTAGAAAAACAGGCTCCGGTGAGGCGGAACGGGGAGCTGTGTTGAAGGCGTCCCTTTGTGGGGAGCACGGCCTTGGCAGCACTCCGCCTCAGCATCTGCTTCTGAGCGTGCTGGGAAACCAGAGGGTGTGTGAGTCTGTTGGAGCAGCGCGACTTCCAGCTGCAAACAGCGCTCGGTTCCGGGCTGAGGGCCGGGCTTGCTGCCTCGGCAAGAGGTTCTGATGCCCTCAGCCCTACGGGACACGGCTGCCTCGCGTCAGCGCTGGGTCCCACCCAGCACGTGGTCCGTGGCTGGGGGCAGGCACGAAGGACAGCTGTGCGGAGCTCCGGATAAAGGGTAAAGCGTTTCGTGCGGGCTCGAGGAGCGGGACGAAGCCTAGCGCCGGGGCTGACGGCTGCCCTCGTCCCGCGCCGAGCGGCATTCCGGAGCTCGCAGCGGGCACGGGGAATCCGGGCGGCGCGCCTGGCTCGAGGCCTCCATTCACCGGCGGCTTTCTGCTTGCAGACGGAAGGCTCCTGGGGCAAACAGAGCCTTTTTTGTTGGCCGAACCCGAT